TGCGGGCGGCGGGGCGGCGGCGGCGGCGCTGAGGGCGATGTCGGAGGCGGGGGGCGCGGGCCGGGCGCGGGCCGCCGTGGAGCGGCTCTCGGAGGCGGTGGGCGAGCGGCGGCGGCAACTGGGCACCGCCATGGGGGAGGCGCGGCGGCAGCGGCGGCTGCTGCTGATGGTGGTCTGCGTGGCGCTGCTGCTGGACAACATGCTCTACATGGTCATCGTGCCCATCATCCCCGACTACATCGCGGCCATGCGTGGCGGCGGGGGCGCCGCCGGCCCGTCCGCGCCCGCGGGGGGCAACGGGAGCGGCGGCGGCAACCGGAGCCTCCTGCCGGCGCGGTACCCGCCGGCCACGGGGGGCAACGAGGACGTGCAGATCGGGGTGCTCTTCGCCTCCAAAGCCATGCTGCAGCTGCTGGTGAACCCCCTCAGCGGCACCCTCATCGACCGCGTGGGCTACGAGGTGCCGCTGCTGGCCGGGCTGGCCGTCATGTTCCTCTCCACCGCCACCTTCGCCTTTGCCGAGAACTACGCGACGCTTTTCGCGGCGCGCAGCCTGCAGGGGCTGGGATCGGCCTTCGCCGACACCGCCGGGATCGCCCTCATCGCCGACCGCTACGCCGAGGAGCCGGCGCGGAGCCGCGCCCTGGGCACGGCGCTGGCCTGCATCTCCTTCGGCAGCCTGGCCGCACCCCCCTTCGGCGGCGTCCTCTACGAGTTCGCAGGCAAGCGGGTGCCCTTCTTGGTGCTGGCCTGCGTCTGCCTCCTCGACGGGCTGCTGCTGCTGGCCCTGGCACCGCCCGGCGCCACCGGGGCACGGGCCAACATGCCTGTCGGCACCCCCATCCACCGCCTCATGGTCGACCCCTACATCGCCGTGGTGGCAGGGGCCCTGGCCACCTGCAACATTCCCCTGGCCTTCTTGGAGCCCACCATCGCCAACTGGATGAAGGATTCCATGGGGGCCAGCGAGTGGGAGGTGGGCCTCACCTGGCTGCCCGCCTTCTTCCCCCACGTGCTGGGCGTCTACGTCACCGTCCGGCTGGCTGCTGCGTACCCCCACCTTCAGTGGTTCTACGGGGCCCTGGGCATGGCCATCATCGGCGCCAGCTCCTGCTTGGTGCCAGCCTGCAGGAATTTCGGGCAGGTCATCATTCCCCTGTGTGGCATCTGCTTTGGCATCGCCCTGGTGGACACAGCCCTGCTGCCCACCCTGGCTTTCCTGGTGGACGTGCGCCACGTCTCTGTCTACGGCAGCGTCTACGCCATTGCAGACATCTCCTACTCGGTGGCGTACGCCCTGGGGCCCATCGTGGCTGGCCAGATTGTGCACACCATGGGCTTTGCACAGCTCAACCTGGGCATGGGGCTCGCCAATGTGCTTTATGCCCCCGTCCTCCTCTTTCTCAAAAACGTCTGCCAAATGAAACCCTCTCACTCTGAGAGGAACATCCTCCTTGAGGAAGGACCTAAGGGACTCTATGACACCATCAAAATGGAGGAGCGCAAAGGCGTGGGCAAAAGCCTGCAGCCAGCGGGTGAGATGGATGAGAATGGCATGGACTCATACCACAGGGACCTGAAAGGGGTGTCTGAGGAGGACTCATCGGACTATGAGTACAGTTAGATTTCCCCCATGCAGCCCAGCCCCATGAGCAAGGAAGGACATGTGGGGGAGAGAGAGGGAAAGGGGGGGATGACAGTGTTACTGCATTATGTTTCTGTACTGATGTGCAATATATACAGTTTAACCTTTGTCATGATGTAATGGCTTTCTTCTAGATTTATTTTTAATTGGTATTTCTTTCAGCATTCTGGCAAAGTGGAGGGGATGGGGAATGGGGGGACAATACTGAAGAAAGTTATCGGAGTAATCATTGCCATAAATCTGAGGGGATCCTTCCAAAAAACCCACCAAAAAGAAAACAAAAAACTCATCAGCCTTTTAGCTGGGGTATAATTGTGCAGAGCGTCCTCAAGCTGAAACTGTGTGTGACATATTGTATATCTCTGTAAAAAATACAAGAAAAGCAAAAACAGTATGTGTAAAATTTCAAATGGCTTATTCAGGGACTTAAGAAATCTTGTGTACATATATTCAGACTTTCAGTTGGTTTCATATATTTAAGAGCAACAACTGTCACACTGTCACATTTTATTCTTCCTTGAGAATAAACTGAAGTATTGTACTTTTTTTTTTCTCTCTTGTGCTGCTCTCCAGTAAGTGCAATATGCTGTATTATGTTGAAGTCCAAATTACAAGAATAATACAATCTGAATAAATGGAATTGAAGGGGATCGATTGTCTTTTGTTTTGTTGTTGAGGGCTGCTTGAGGGAGGGAGCTGGTTGTGCTCGTTGTAACCCCTGTGGTAACAATCCCCCATAGCAGTATCTATCTCAGTAGCTACCAAAATTGCACAGGAGAAGACCCCAATACAAAATGTTCTCATTCATTCTTCACAATATATCAGGTCTGAGCAAGCAACATCCCACTGCGAACACGCGCTACCGATTGCCTAAAAACAGCTCCTTGTATTCTTATGCGAATTTAATTTAATGCCCACAATGATGAATTTCAATTTTTTGAGTATTTAAAAAATTACATGACCAGCAGTTAAGAGACACAATACTAGAAAATGCCTTTCATGGTGTTAATGCTGCCCCAATTGCAACGTGTCTGCCTCAGTGGGTTGAGAGGGATTAAACAAAACAAAAGATGGGTGAAGTACTTCATTCAAACATTTGCAAAAAGTGGAAACCTTCGATCTAACCACAACGCAACCAGACTGCATAGCTTTCCCTGCAAATTTCTGTTGATATTAAATAAAATCGTTTATTTTAATTCCTAGCTTATTAGAAAACAAAATAAATTACTTGTAATCTCAAGAGAGAAAGAAAAAAATTACAAACGGCCACAGCGCCTGCTTAAGGGCTCCCACCCGTCCCTGGGGATCCAGGCGCCGCGAGGGACCCGCGGACTCACGGCCGGTGGGTTCCGCTGGGCTGCGCGGGACGCGCGGCCCCGCAGCTCCTGCCGGGGCGGGCGAGTCGCTGCTTACGCGGCGCAAAACTCATGAAAACAGCGCGACGGCTCTTTGGCACAGGGATTCGGCGAAGGAGAGATGGCCACCGCGGTGGGAGGTGAGCCTCGCTTCCCTAAACCGCAGCCGCTTCTTTGCGGTAAGCGGCCACAGCGGTGCCGCCTCCGGTCCGCCGCCCGCGCTCCCGCTACTGCTGCCGGCCCCGGGGCAGCTCCCGCAGAGCCCGGACCCCTCCCGGCACCGCTGCCGCCCCGCCGCAGCTTCCACCCCTCCCGGCCCTGGTGCCGGCAGCCCACCGGCAGCACCGCCCGCCCCTGCGCGGCCGCGGAGCTTTCAGGAGCCGCAGATGCCCCGCGGCGACACTGCTCGGCAATTGCGACAACCCCCGTGGCAACGCGGGTCAGCGAGCGCAGTGACCCCTCGCAGTCCCCTCGCGGACCCCTCTTCCCCGCCGCATAGGGAGCCTCTCGGCTGACCCCGACGGCGGTGAGAGCACGGGCGAGCCCGGCCCTGCCCGGTTCCCCCCGCCCCCCTCACGGGACACGGCGGGCACGGGGCGAGCTGGCGCCGGTGCAACCGGCGGGCACAGCCTCCCGCACGGGCGGAACAGCCGCGGGGGCAGCGCAGGCACCAACGCCTGTTGCGCGCAGCGGGAGGGGCGGGTAGGGTAGGGCAGGGCAGGGCAGGGCAGGGCAGGGCCGGGCAGCCCGGGGCGGGGAGGAGCCAGGCAGCGGCGGAGACGAGCCGCCCTCCGCACGCCCCCGCCCAGAGCGGACCTGGCCGCGGAGGAGGCGGCGGTACCTTGGACAGAGCCGCCGCGACTCGAGAGCCCGCCCGGCAGCCGCTCCGGAGCGCCCCGACGAGCAGGTACGGGCGGGCGGGCTGCGCGCCCTCCCGCTGCCCCGACGGCGCGGATGCAGGCGCCGGGAGAGACAGGGGCTTGGGAGCGGGGAAAGGGGGCGGCGGGTCCCCCGGAGCGGAGCCCAGCGGGCTCCCCTTGCCGAACTCTGCGGCTCCGGCGGCACCCACGGGGCCGCTTCGCTGCCGCCGCCCGCGTGTCCCGCCGCGACGGGTGGTCTGGGAGGGAAGGGGCGCCCCCGGGACTAAGGCTCGGGAAGGGCTCGGGACGCGCCGGCAACCTCCGGCGGAGCGTGGGCGCTCCCCGACGGGTCCAGCGCTGCTCGCAAGGAGCTCACGGCCGGCGACAGGGCGGCTCCTGCCTCCTCTCGCAATGTCAGCGGCTGCAGCAGCGCGCACTTCACAGTTGTATTCCTGATAACGCAGACATCCCTCTTAACTGTAAGCAGAGATTCCTGAGAACTTGAAGCTTATTCTCCTGATAACACTGAGAGTGAGGATGACTAGATAGACGGGGGCTGAGTGTGTTGCCCAACAATACTGTATACTGCAAGCTGCCTTCCGAGTCCACAATGTATGGAGAACTCAACTATAAGCACATGGGCTTATTTCAGTCCTCCTCTGCTATCTGCTAACAGAGAGATCAGTGCCTTTTGTTGTGGATTTGAGTTGCTGCTTTGAGCTGTGGGGAAGGCCACCCGCTCCTCAACCTGCTGTGACTCGCAGCCCCCCTGCTAAGCCTCTCACTCCAGCCCTCCAGCTAAGCCAGCTGTAAATAAAAACAGCAAGGATTATTTTATATTTTTTTGCCTAATAACTTTGACAATGCGCCTCACAGCCTTCTAGTGAGCAACTTTGAAGTTATCTTGAATTTCTGCAGGATTTTCTCCTGTGTCAGTTTTCTTGTCCTTTATTAGGCAAATACAGGATTGTGTGTGATGTTAAGCTGTCACCACTTGAACCAGAGACAAAGCCTCCGTTCATCCCCATGCCAGAGAAAAGCACAGTTCAGGCTACCACCTCCAAACTCCTTATCACACTGTTTTTACAGATATGTGGATCGGGTCTGTTGGTAGTAGCATTTTCCACAGACACAGTACAGATTTGTAGCGGGTGTGATGCCATATTGCAGTTTGACAAAAAACATAAGGAAAGAAAGAACAAAAGTCCCAGCGAGAAGAATACCTGCAGGATTTTCCCTTTAAGGGAGTACAGTTTTAGGGGCCCTAAAGACAAAATGGCTGCTCTGTATTTGAACACAGGTAGGGAGCCAGTCTATAGACAACTGGGCAAGCTACATTCTTCCAAGAGTTACAGGACATGACCATTATTTGAAGTGCTTTGACCCTGTGTTGCTAGGAATAGAGTGCAGGGCTAAGTGAGACCAGTGCAGCACACAAGAGGGAGCGAAGCAGTGCAGTGTGTTAATGTGGCCTCTCCATGAGGGAAATCGTCTCTCACCTGGGTTGAAATTGTGAGCAGATGACGGATCAACACGAGTTTGCTTTGTGGCTCATTGCAGGGCCCCGGGGACATCTCTCAACCTTATACAACCTATTTCACAGCACATGGCTCCACTGAAAGCCATTGCAGGACAGGATCGACACCAGGTGTCAGCGACCACATACACATTGGCAGAGCTGGAATAGCCAAGCCAATCCTCAGGAGAGGAATAATGCACAGCCATCTCTGCCCATTGCTAAGCAGAACTCTTCATCTCACTTTCATACACTGTAGGGTTTTTAACCAAATTGTTCTTCAAAGCTGTTTTAGAAATATCTCAAGTGTCCTGAATGTATAGTCCCGAAGATTACAGAAAGGAAAGTATTTTCTACATGGTCAACATGTGTTGTCTTTCATATTTCGCATGCACACAGTGGAAAGTAATTAAATAAATCCAAAAAACCTGTAATCCATCAAGATCTGACTGAACACAAAGAACTTGCTCTACTTTAGCTGCATTTAAGTACTATCATAATTGAATGACAATTGCTTGGTGTGGGCACTGTTATGTCAAGAAATACGTGTGTCATATAGCTTTTTTTTTTTATAGAAAAGCAGTAAGATGCATCTTTAGAAAACAAAACCAGGATAAGCACAATACCAGAGAGACCAGTGGAAGTATTTGCTCTGTCACAGATTACTTTTGTGACTTTTGGCAGGTTAAGCCATCTCCCTGGATAGTTACATGCTATTTGAGAAGACTGCTGTATGAAGCACAGTGTATGCCACTGCTGCCAGTCCTCTCACAGCCAGCCTGCCAGCTTAGGCAGGCTCATGGGGTCTCCCAGCCCACATCTTCGCCCCAAAGCACTGGCACCCAGTGAGCTTCTAGGTTGCAGGGGGCAAAGGCACATCTCCATCAAGCTCCTTTCTACAGCTTTTACTTCTTCTAGCACAGCAGCTCACTGTATCCATGGAACCGTGCAGTGACAAATACATTTAAACACTGTGGTGCTTTCATATAAAATGGTAGATAGAAAAATGCAGCCTTACTATTACCTGTGTCAACATAAGTACATTCAAAGAAAAGTCACCTCCAGCTAACATATAACAGTCATACAACAGTGCACGGATCATGCCACAATAAATTGCAAAGTAAATTACAGTGACAAAATAAACCATGCTGAGAAGGCACCTTTTATGAGCATCAGATAGTTCTGAATATATAAATTTATAGCAAAATGAGACAAACAATGTCAGAGCAATCTCCACAGGGCTCAGTTTAGCTACTTTTGACTGTTGTACTTCTATTTCTCTTCAGTTTTGCATTCTGCAGCTTCTGCGTATGCTTGCGCAGGGAATACTCCCCTCATACATTTTGGTTATAAATAACGGGTACTGACAGGACTTTAAATCTTTTCTATTTCCAGAACTGAGGCGTGAGGCTCCATAAGTGCCCCCAAGTGGCTTCAATTTCTGCCCTCAACAAAAGATACCAA